GGTTTAAAACGCGACATATATTATTTAACTTAATTTTAAGGATTCTTAGTGGAAGCCGTGGACACGGTTAAAAGTGTTTTATTTTAATTTTTTATATTTATTACGTATATATTTATATTTTTTTGTTGTTTTGTTTTGTGACAGTAAGGAATCATTTGTATTTGTAATAATTTCCTAAAAGTATTGAATAAACGAAACGAAACGCTTTAAAAGAATTACTTTCCAGTCATATTAACTTATCTATATTAGTTACATATTTATTTTCGATGATAAAAAATGCAAGTGACTCTCTTAGTTGAGCAATCGTTCTAAATAGACAATGCAACGAACCTAATTACTGAAGAATGTGAGACAAAAAAACAACAATAATAATCTTTGTTCCTACAAGTACAACTCAAAAAAGTTAATACTTACCATAATTTAAGATTACTTTTTGTAGCAGATGATTCCTAAGTTATTTCTTTAAATTCTCCCTTAATGTATAAATTATAACCAACGGATTTTGAGTTCGATTCTCAGGATAAGTACCTACGTACCTTGTTGTAAATCACCGTAAAAAATTGAAAAAGCAGTGTATATTCGCGTTTCTGATTAATTCTATAGATTACCGAATGTTCTAAACCAGGATTAATTAAAAATGTATTTAAATTTAAAAAAAAATGACGATACCGACGGGACTTGAACTGGTAACCACAGCATTCCGTGCTGCTGCTGTAATCAATTGCAAAACAAAGTAAAAATAAGTAGACAATGCATCTTAATTAGCTATACAAATGTTTTCATGATGGTAGGTGAAGGATGGAGGACCGTCTTCTATTCTCTTCTTATAAGAAAACCTTCAAACTCGCACGAATTTAAAACAGTAATAAATAACTAAAAGCCAGGTGGCGCGACAACAAATGAATTGTACGTGCTCCGCTACTAGAGATATCTTTATAGCGTATAACTAATAGCTTATAGCTTACAACAAATAGCTTATAGCTCGTAATAAACATAGCTAGCTGTCTTTTTTTCTTTTGACCTTTTTATATATTTATAATATAGATTACTTGTACCAGAGCCTTGTCGTAGTTGATCGTTATTTCTTTCGCATAACGTGTTTTAAAAGATTTTTATAATGTACAAATCAGTTGATCGAACTTCTATCGAATCTTGATTTAAACCCGTATGTACTTAAATAAAACACTTTAACGGTTTAAAAGGGGATATATTTAACCTTAGGTTAAACCAGCCCATAGAAATTAACAAATTAAAAATGTTTTTTAACGTTTAAAGTAAACATCTGGAAACATCAAATGGTACTGAATACATACATTCGTATAAATCTAATTCTACCCTAAGTGTGTCTTTTCTAATAAGAACTTTTTACAACCCACCGCTTTCAATGGGACAGTAAAGCTTATCTCTAGTGTTATGACGCTGTATAGTTTTCCCCATGGTGGGATTACATCTTCACAATGTTTTGGCATTAAATCCCTTGCTTTAACACTACCTTTACTTAAAAATACTTCTACCGACTTATTTACTTAAAAATAGTCATACTAATAAACATTAACTTACCTATAGGAAACGGAATATTTTGTAAAAGAACGGCAAAACGGAAGTTTTGCCGTTGTTTGAAAACTTTTACATTTTTTCACATGTTATTGCATATGTTATTGAAATTAAAAATCGATTTTAGAGAGCAACGACACGGAACGCCGTGGATCTATGATCCATTTTTAATTTATTTTCCCAAGTATGTTTACAGTCTATCATGAAAATCATTGTTTTTAATTTTCTTAAGATTTTAGAAAAATTCAATTGAATTCAAGAATTATCGAAATTTTAAGGTCATTCAATTGAGTCCTATACTTTTTAAAATAATAAAAGAGGTTTAAAAAGTTTAATATTCAAATTTAATAGCATTGTATACATTAAAATCGATTTTAGATTGAAAGCGTCCCGTGCTATAGGTCTGCACGAAATAAAACAATTTAGAATAAAAGCGTTCGCTCAGAACAATCTAATACTATAAAATCAAATCTCATTTTTTAAAGTAAGGACATAGAGGAAAACACTGTCTGTGTGCCCTTTGATTAACATTTCACGTGTCTGAAATATTTGAATCCTTCTCGCAACCTTATACAACTAAATAAGAGAGACAGTGGATATTGAGACCTTCCCATTGAACTATGTATTTATCATAATCTTAACATCCTTATCTAGCAGGGAGGTCCAGCCAAGTGTCACGCGCCGTTTACCCTCTCACCGGTGCTCTCCCTAGTTCCGGAGCTGTAGGTGCGCACGCGCAGCTGCGGCGACACGCGCTCTTAATGATTACATTGTTTTACTAGTGTTTGCGTCGCGGTGGTCCAATGAACGTCGATTACCACTTCACTATTTCCCTGTTATTCAGTAAAGGGCTTGTGCTTTTAGATCTTTATTTACTCTTATCGAGTGCTATCGAACACTTGAAACCACGCAGGTAGGTTCGTGAATAATCACGAAAATATTTATTAATTTATCTTAAGTAACGAACCTCTTAATGTTGTTTAAAGTTTTCTAATTAAAATCGTAAGTTGTGGCACGAACGAAACGTCGAGTCTCTGAAATTTATGGGGCAGAGTCAATATAATTCTTGATTAATGTAATGAATAGAATAGAATGGAAATAGACAAGATTTACAATAAAATCTTGCTTGGTTGAAACACGTTTCAACAGTTCCAAACGCGAAACATATATTTATACCTTTTTTTTTTTTTTGTACCGTCGGAAAATGCCTCCCTGGGTACGGCTCTGTGTTAAGCTGACACGTCTAACGACTGCTCAAGCGGCAGCCCATATGTGAAAGCGAGCTAGCCTGTCTCCTTGGCCTAAATGCTGCGCTAACACACCCCAGTGGACACGGACCAAAGGCCGTCGCCCGCCCGTGACCACGTTAAGGGGAGGGGTGCCGCGAGACTGCGGAAGACGATGCCGCCACACTTCGCCAGCGGAGAGACAGCCGAATGGCCGCAGTCCACTCCCGGAGTTTGTTAAGCATACCCCTCGCGGCGCGGTGCAATTGCGAGGGGTTATGTGGGTCTCTCCCACCTCGAAAGAGGTGGGCATACCGCACTAAAAACCGACTGCGCCGTCTTATCGCTTAAGGATGAGCCACGGTATCAGCAGAGCCTTAACCACGTGACCCACCCTGGCGAATGCCGCAGCGAAGCTGCAGCGCTCCTAAAGCGGCCGAAGCCGCTTCCGCGCCTCTCCTTTGCCACCTTGGAGGCAGCACGCTGACTTGGAGTCAGCCGTCCCACGTGCCCGAAGACACCACTGCCCAGCAGGGCAAAAACTACTAAAACGGGCGAAAACGCCCCCACCATTATGCCTCCTGTAGGGTTTTCTGTCGAAAACCAATCAGGAGCTTTCACCTCGCGGTCTTGGAGACACGCCATCCACCGTGCCGAAGCACCACTGGGTCCGAAGACCCGACGACAAAAGGCGCTGAGCGCCCGAGCGATGAAACGCTCCCTTTCTGGCCGTTTAGGGTACGCCCGTGGAAACCCACCAGATTTGGTCCGCGCCGGCAGCCTAACTGCCGATAGTCGCCATTATCTGACGACATTTCCCCTATCCGCCACCTGGGGACGCGCCCGGTGGAAGTCTGGCAACTCCCCCCTGCAGGGCACTCTGACCCCACAGGGTGCCGGGTATATATTTATACCTAATTTAACTAGAGCCCGATGTTTCAAATATCTTACAGTAGCCGTGACCATGACATAAGTTAACTGAAATATTTCACGTTTTAAACCGTAATTTTTTTTTTATGTGTATTAGTCGTATAAACTACAAACAGTAAATGCACGCGGGTAGAATTGTAAAAATAATGTTGATTTGTATAGTATTCTCAAGTAAGTGATCTTGTATCTTTTTTGAGAAATAAATGTCTTTAAACCTTAAATAATAAAAAACGTATTATGACAATGACGATATAATAAGAGGAGACAGGGGGAGGAGGAGGAATATACCCTACAAAAACCTTACTCTTAAATAAAAATAAAAAGGTAAATTATTTAATGTACATTAAAAGATATAATTGTAGGTACAGATGTAATAAGCGGTCAATGGGTGGAAGAAATAAAGAAAACTTCGATTTTCCTTCCACGCATTTAATAACAAGATTTCCAAACAAAGTATGCTTCAGACATAACACAAACATACCTTTTAATTAGCATTACATTGCTACCAAGAGCAACGAGTTCTATATCTGTTTGTTTTTCTATTAATAAATAAACAATTCGTGTAATTTACAAATTTGAAGATTAATCAAACAAACGAAGCTATTTCTTCCCGGTCTTTGTAACTTGGAGCGAGTAAAAATGAAATACGAAGTCTTTGTATAGAAAGAGGGACCGTTTGAAGTTTTCAAAGCCGGGTTCACTCAGGGCGATAGCATCGGGAAGTGTCGCAAACAGATAACAGTGCATGTCCAAATTAAATTAATATTTAACATTATGGTTTGCATATCAATCGGTGTCTATGGTTGTGTGGTGATATAAATACTCTATGGTAAATAAAAGAGGATTAACGGGGTTGAAATTAATTTGATCTAAATAGTAGAACTTTTGTTTATTATATCAATCTTTGTAGATCGTACAATTTGCTGCTAATATTTTGTTAGCTAGATGTATTGGCGACGAAATTATTATAGTCTATCTTACCTTGTTCTATATTTTGGTTTACATATATCAGGTGAATAAAATTCTTGTTTTTATAATCAATTATCAAATCTATACCTACCTACCAAATATTTTAAAGTAGCTATAGAATACCTACGTTAAAATATTTGTGTTTATGAATAAGTTTGGATTTATATGAAATGCGTATTTTTAATGACATTAGAAAATTATCGTTTATTTATCTTCATTCGGTGTCGCGATTATACATTTATATATTTCAGGCGAATTGCCTAAAAGATTCGGTCGATATTCCCCGTCCCCCGCCCCGCAGGTGCGACGAGATAATCCAAGATGGCCGCCGAGATAGGACGTGACGTCACGGCCCTCGCCTCCCGCTTTGGGCGCATCCTCGAGGCTTTACCACCCTCCTTGGATCCTTTCAGAAATCCGCCAAGTACCGATAGCAAAAAAAAACGTACTTTGAAACATTTGAATGAAACTTTTAACTATGACGCAAATGCTAAATTGAATATGAATGATATCGAGGTCATTTTGTAATAACAAATGTCACACAACTTGTTGTGCAACTAATCTAGAGTGGGCAATAAATGTATAACCAACTATGAATGCTACCTTTCTACTAACTTTCGATCAATGCACTGGTAAGGCCAGCAACCATTTATTTTTAAGAGCTTTGAAGATCGTAAATATTGGCAACTGTAGATAGGTAAGTAACTAAAATCTAATAATGAAAACATTTGATAATAAAAAAAAAAGGAAATGTTAGACTTTTTACTACACAAAGTCTTACAAATATTTAATCCTCATATAAATATACTATAAATTAAGACGAGTTTTTCTATCGCTACTGCGAGGGTGGTGCGTTATATGCTTTGAGCTATGTAAGAGGTTATCTCGGTAGCTAGTGCTATCTAAATCTGTATTATCGCAACAAGCGATAATAATTATCATTACTACAGCTATATGTGACTGCGATTTGACTAACAATTCAATAACGGCTAATGTTATCTGTGGTTTGCGAATCTAACTGAAAGGCTGAAGTTCACTTTTACTCTCGAGACAACAATTTAAAGCATGTGGCATATATATTTTCGCGATACCAACGATTGCAAAATATGGTTCGAATTTCACCGGGTATGTTTCTAAATAATTCAAGAACAATTGAGACTGCGCCTGAAATCTAGTCATTGTTTGCATGAATATTAGTTCCAGGAAATTTGGAATCAGAATGTCATCGGAATTATATTAACCCTGTGAAGTTTAAACTTTAAATAAAACGCGATAATTGTTAAACTTATTGAAAATATCGTTTGGCCCGACGTTCGATGAATTGCCGTGGCACGGGATGGTCGACTCATATTAAAAAATGCTACGCTGTTGTGAAGTTGTATTTGGCGAAACTGGCCGGGTCCTTACATAACAAACGGCCACGTTAACGTTTTCAAATGTTTAACTAAACGCGTTTTATTACGTTAAAGTGTTTTATTTGAATCGCGTAATGATTTTAAGTTTAAACGTTCGGCTTCCGTTCTTTTCGGAAGCTTAGCCAAAGCCAAAATGGCCGACAGCGCATCTTGTTGCCTGGGGTATTACACATTATGGAGTATTAGGTATTCATAGTTTGTGTAATAGAAAATGTTGCTCGATTGGAGTCTTCTCCATCTCTTCTAAAATGAATAAGATACAAGATTTTTTTAATGACGTCATCAATTAAATCCCGTTTTCCCCGTGGGTTAGGGCAGAACACGTTGCTATATTCGTGATCACTGTTTTATTTATACGCGAATAGTTGATGAGACTGTGTACTGCCCAACCGAAATAAGGTTTTATTTTCCCGGAATTCGAACCCAGGACCACTTGCGAGTAACTCAATTCTAGGCAACATATTTAACCATTTAGCTACGGGGGCGGGTAACACACAAACACTTAAAGAAATTACCTATACATTAAAAAATTGGTACATTTGAGGCTGTTAGAGGCTGAGTGGCCTAAAAACAAAAATATTTTCAATAAGGAGGAAAATAAAAATACGCAATTAACTTAGGCGAAAATGAATTGTATTATTATTTGTGTAATAATTGTATTTACAATCTTCGGTCATTGTGCTTATGTAGGTTAACATTTTTGTCAAAATATTAATAACGTAACGTAAAATGGCAGTTAGGCTACTCTGCTACTAACGGCCTCATGTAATAATATCACTTAGGTTTCTACATATGCAAGTTCAAATGGGTCATTTTATTAACATATGTATATTTAAATATAATTACTGAGTGATTTTTTGCACTGCAAAATTTTTTGATTAAAATCTTATAATTTTGAATCTAATATTATAAAATTTATTGTCTGTTTAATTAAATACTGTCTATAGTTTACGCGAGTAGTACACATTTAAATAAAACACTTTAACGGTTTAAAACGCGATATATTAGTTAAACTTATTTGAAAATTATTTTTAACTTTAACTAATAAGTTTAACTAATATATTGCGTTTTAAATCGTTAAAGTGTTTTATTTAAATTTAATGCCTGTTTATAATTTACAAACGACATAGAGAAGACGTACGTACGTATTTTTAGTTGAGTTTAAGCGCTGAAGCACTTTAGCGGTTGTTCCGAGCTTAACCACTTTCCAGCGTAAAGCGCTCTAACGGTCAATTGTTTCGCGAACAAAAGAGTGAAGTGACCGAGGTAACGGAGCCCTTAAGAGATGATGACTGCCGCTGGTCTGCCCTATCAGCATCATCGGCGCACAAAAGGTACTCCCATTTCGACACTTAAAATAAACTAGATGCTCGGGGCGGCGATTCTAGTTGCGAGATCTGTTTTGTGAGATCACGTTTCTTCGTTTCAAAGTGAACTTTGATATTTCAACTTTTTTTTATAAAGGAGGACAGATATGGATTGGTGATAGTTGACACCCCAACCATAAAGCTGCACTAGGCGCTGTTGAGCTATTTTTGCTTTGGATATTTGGAAATCCACAGACTAAAACCGACGCAAAAAATATTGTGTAAACAGTTTAGAATTTTGAATATTACAATAAACATTTTAACGGTTTGAAAACGGGAAATATATGATTTGATTGATTTTAACAACGACTTTTCAATACGAATGCTGTGCAGAGGTCGTGACCGTGTCATTTTAAAGTCAGTAAGAATTACTTATAAATAATAAAATTGAATGAACGAACTTTTTGATTTATTGATTTTGGCTAAATTATTTCAACTCTCAAATTAGCTGGTAGAATTAATGGTCTCCGTTGCGTAATAATATAATATGTAATATGAGACCGCTAGAGGCAGAGTAGCCTAACTGCAATTCTATGACTTGTGCTATTTAAATTTTCATAGTCTAAAACTGTTAATCTACAAAAGCACAGTGACTGAAAACTATAATAGTACAAATTAATTCTAACACAAATAATAGTACAAATTAATTTTCGCCTAAATTCATTGCCCTTATTTAATTTCACTCCTTATTTAATATTTGCCACTTTGACTATTAGGCCACTTTGCCTTTAGCAGCCTCATATTTGAATGTATCTCTCTAATAGAATTGAATAGATATTAGTTAACAATTAGCGGGTAGACGGGATTTATCAGCGGCACACATGATCCGTCGCGCGGCGGAAATGGCGTCAAACCGGATATTGTATCGCGCCTTCATCTCCGGTCCGCTTCCTACCCTCCTACCCTCGCTTCTCTAATTACTACGTACGTTAGTACTCCTTCGATCCTATTCTATTTATATCTATATTAATAATTAACCTCGGTTCGGGATTACTTTAGTTACTGTAGTTAGTACAATTAGTAAAAAAAATAGATTTAACGGTCTCAAATAATAATACATTAATACGAAGGTGGCATTAGCTTACCAAATTTTAAACGTACTGGTTTTTCGGTCAATAACGGTACAGAAGTGCGTTCAATAGTTTCCTATCAAAAAGCAATCAGCAAAACAGTTTTAAAATAAAGCTGAATATATTTATGATTGTGAAGGATAGACAAGCATATGGTTCGTTTGATAGGCAGTGCAATACTCTAACTATATAACATCACCATGCGCTGTCGGCCTATTTGAGCTTTAGATATTTAGAAATCAACAGACTAAAACTGTAAACCGAATTTCGATATTCCTATAGCCCGTTCAATATCTAGCTGTCCAGACGAAATATCAGACCCGTTGATACGTCATTGCTAACATTAGACGTACGTACTACCATTTTCACTGTTATAGCTTCTTAATCTTGACACAAGACTTATAATAAATTAACATCGCAGCCATTAACAAGCAATTTAGCTGCAATAAAAATAGTCAAGCTATTCCCCCGCGTATTTGGATGTTAGCGGCCAAATTGCCAAATGCCATAAGGTACATTGCACCAACATTCTCAACACGCCAAACAAATGTGGCAGCTATAATTCACTCCGAATTGTATTTAAGCAAAGGGATACCTTCTGTGCTCCTTGTCAACGCCTGTTTATACAACTATTCGGGTATAATAGGCCGCAGATGCTTTTATCGCTGTCGTACATGTCAACAGTGCCATCTAGTGAGTATATGTGTCATTAAAAAAATATTGAGGAGGTATAAAACGCACGACGCTTAACCACCTTTTGTACTCTTGTACTTATCTACATTTGTATGTAAAATAAATATCGATACCTAATATGGTATTTAATATATAACATTCTCATGTCACAGTGTACTATACTTCTCCGTAACGGCTCCATCGATGTTTATGAAATTTAATTCAGTATTCAATTTATTTTTTAAATCATGAACTGATAAGAGTTATCTCTAACATTGATTTTTATTTTTAGGCATTGCTTTATGAGGCATTAAAAATATGTTTTATCAATATTTTCACCCTTGTATCACCAATCTCTATCTTTTAATGGTTTTACTAATTTAATAATTCTTCATCCCGCTCGATAACTTGACTTATCACTTTATTATTATAACTTAGTAAGTTACCCCCCCCCCTCAGACTTCTTCTCTTGTCAATAAATGAATGTTTGGTGTTTGTTATTTTTATATGTCCTCATAGTTCCAAATCTCTTTCACTCATAAGTAGACTAGATCCTTACACACTACAAATACCCAAGACATAATTTATTTTGCAAAAAATAATCGATTTCATAATTCGATTATTAATTTCGCGTTTTAAACTGTGTGTTAAGAATGATTTAGTATAAACTAAGAAGCTATAACACTTAATATATTCCCTAATTAACTGGTTTATTAATCAATAAATTTAGAAAATCAAACCGAGCTTGGAGTGCTATACTTGAATCAATGTTATGTTTAATTAAATACACGTGATATGAATTATTTTTGGTAAGATGGATTTGTTCCACTTAGTACTTATACTTAGTACCTTGTAAGTAAATGAAGTTATAGCGGCGCTTACAAGTACTACGTTTAAATGTTGCGACAGGCTCGTAATAGTAACAACGTACGGCTATTCAGCATGTCGTAGATTCGAGCACCAACGGTCTCCAATACTTTTATAATCAATTTATAATTTTGACA